GGAAGTATTGCCAGCTATTATTACACCAAATCAAGGAGCCTTAGTGAGTGGAGACAAATTACAGATCAAATTCTAATTGCTAATGAGAGTGTGGAGAATTTTAGGAATGATAGGAAGAAGGGAGTGGTATGTAAGTTGGATTTGGAAAAGGCTAATGACTTGGTGGACTGGGATTTTCTGAGGAAAGTTATGACCAAATTTGGATTTGGGACTAGATGGTGCAAATGGATTATGGGGTGTGTTCGGAATTGTCATTATTCTGTACTAGTGAACGGGACAATGGTTGACTTCTTTCCAACCATTAGGGGAGTAAGACAAGGAGACCCCTTGTCTCCCTTCTTATTCACACTGATTGCTGATGTTTTAGGGAGATTGATTCACAAAGCAGATTCTAGGGGTCTTATTAGAGGTTGGAGAGTTGGAAGGGAGGAAACCCCCCTCACCTATCTATAGTTTGCAAATGATACGATTCTGTTCTGTGAAAGAGGAAATATGGGGTATATAAGGAACATGAAATTGGTAATACAACTCTTCGAACAAATGTCAAATTTGAAGGTGAATTTTGAGAAAAGTTGTGTAGTGGGTGTGAATATGGAGGGAGAGATCAGGGAGAATGTAGAAGTGCTAGGATGTGAAACCTCAGAATGGCCTTTGAATTATCTAGGGTTGCCATTGGGTGACAATCCAAAGAGAGTTTCTGGAATCCAGTGGTGGAAAGATTTGAAAAGAGACTTGTCTCTTGGAAAAGGAATTACCTTTCTCTGGGAGGGAGGATGACACTGATTAAGGCTACACTTGCAAATTTACCTATTTATTTCCTTTTAGTGTTCAAAATCCCAGTAAAGGTCTCTAGCAGATTGGAAAAGATGATGAGACTTCCTTTGGGAGCCGGGAGAAGAGAAGAGGGACCATAGAGTAAGCTGGGAGATGGTGCCCAGGAGCAAAGACAATGGTGGTTTGGGGCTCGGGAACATTAGAAAAAGGAATTTGGCCCTTATGGGGAAATGGCTGTAGGGATTCCCATTAGAGAGGGAGAAATTATGGGCCAAGATAGTGGCAAGCATACATGGCTGGAGCTGAATGGATGGGATGTGGGAATCTGAGCTAGGACCACAAGCGCTTCACCTTGGAAAGCCATCCATGAGTTGTTACCAGTTGTTTCCCCTCTTACCAAGTATGATTTGAATTCAGGTAATTCCATAAAATTCTGGGAACATACTTGGGTGGGGGATGGCCCCCTAAAGGACCGGTTTCCTTCTTTGTATGCTCTATCTAACCTTAAAAATGAGCCAGTTTCCTCTTTCACCACCCTTTCTTCCTCAATCTCTGGGTTTGGGTGGAATTTGGGCTTGAGAAGGACTGTGAGAGACTTAGACCTTGACAGGATTTCGAATCTCCTTCAGCTTCTTGACAATATTTTCTTGGACCCTGCTATGGTGGACTCTAGAAGTTGGACCCCCACCCCCACTGGTTCTTTCTCCTGTGCCTCTTTCTTCAAAGTTTTAAACCAGTCCACTAGTCCTGTAGCCCTCCCTTTTCCTGTTAATGAGGTTTGGTGTTGACCAATTCCTCCTAGGGTTGGTAATTTTTGCTGGGAAGCCTTTCTGGAAAGATTCAACACTAGTGATCTGCTCCAAAAGAAAAGACCCAATACTTGTTTGTCTCCTCACTGGTGTGTTCTTTGTAAAGCTGATGGGGAGACTGGTTTTCATCTACTGGTGTCTTGCCAATTTGCGAAGTCTATTTGGGTGTAGTTGGAACCCTCCATCAAATTTGCAAAGTTTGTTTTCCCCTTATTTTTTCAGGTGGCGTATGAAAAGGGGAAGGACTATGTGGAGAGGATTGAGGGCTGCGGTATGCTGGCCCTTGTGGGAAGAAAGAAACTCTAGGATATTCTCTGATGTGGAGAGAGGTGCTGAAGAATTGAGGGCTCTGATCCTTATAAGGGTCGTACAGTGGATGACATCCCTAGAGCTATTCACAGATTATACAGTGGATGACATGTTAAGAAAGTGGGGTGAGATTGCTAACTGTTCCCAGACCAAAACAGTGATGAGTGTGTCTTAGACCCCCCCCCCCCACCTGTAGGTTTCATAAAACTAAACTTTGGTGGGAGTTGCAGAGGGAATCCTGGGCAATCAGGGATTCTGGGTGTTTTTAGGGATGAGAATGGGGTTGTTCTAGCCATGTTTTCAGGCCCAATTGGAGTGGGTGACTCTCTCAGAGCCGAGATCCGTGCAATTATGGAAGGAATACAGAAAGCTAGGGAGATGAATATCAACAAACTCATAATTGAGGGGGATTCGGAGGTGGTGGTAGGATGGCTGAATAAAGACAACAGTGGTTTATGGCATTTCAGTAATGTGAGGAGGAAATTTAGATGGCTGGTTCGAGGAATGGAAGTTAAAATCATTTGGGTAAAAAGATCAGCTAATTCTTTTGCTGACGGGTTAGCTAAACAAGGGGTGGAGAGGGAATCAATGTTTTGGGCACAGCTGTAATTTTTTTCTTTTCCCTTTCTCTTTCTCTTTTGTTCCTTTCTTGGGGCTCAAACTGTATTTGGAAGATAAGAAAGTTTGTCTTCCTCTTTGTAATTTTTATTAAGATTATATAATGAATTGTGTTATTGATTAAAAAAAAAGACGTATCGTGTCGGTGACCTCTCAATATGCCCCTATTGTGGGTGCTTCAGGGTCTGATCTGGTTCAGGGGGTAGACAGACCTTAAACCGTTTGAAAAAACTAAAAATAAATAAATAAATAAAGCGAAGCTTATCAGTATTTTGAACCTTGGCGAGGCCTTCATTTTAATTCTTAAGCAATGTAGTACTTGGGCAACACTTAATAGTGTAAGGCCTTCATCCATAAAAGGATAGACAAGCCAAGCCAAGTCCCACATGTGAGTCATTATGGGCTTGTGATAACTGATAAGCCCACCCCCTACTTTTTGTGTCAGGCCCAAAGCCAAGCCAAGGTTGGCCTAGTTTGGGCCCATGCAATATTTTTTCTTTCACATACTATGAACATATAATTTAAAATTTTATGAAAAAATAAAATTTCATTTTTTGATGCCATACTATGAACAGATAAACCTTCTTTTGTGTATCAGTAGTTTATTGTGACCTACTCTGTTGATAAATACGTTATTTGTCATACATCAAGAAAACATGAATGTCCATGCTTTAGATGATTCTCTCTCTCTCTCTCTCTCTCTCTCGATCTTGATAATTTATACATGCATTATTGAAGTGAGTGGGAAGGCATGTGTTACATGTGGTATTAATAGTGGACAGAAAATATGAGGAGGTTCACTGTAGATTTTCTGTGTGCCCTCCATGCTAGTGGGATATCTGCTTTATAGAATCGATATATTTTCAGGCGTACTGTTCTTATTTGCAGATTACCACTTCTCAGCCTTGATCCCAACCTTTTGGGGTCTATCCATTTGATGTGTTTGTCATGGGGGAAGGAGGGGCTTTGATTATGCCAACTGCCAACTGAGACAACTCTTATTTATCTGGGCTTGAGATGTAAGACAACTTGACAGAAAACATGGCTCTTGATAGAGCGCAATGGTGGAACAGGATTCGTGTAGATGCAAAACTCACCCAACACACCCTCCACATTTTACTCCAAAAATCACCCACCCAATAGAGGGCTTACATCCCCTTGGTCCCTCCCTTTACAATCCTACAACCACCTCTGTGGCCTTCTAGACCCCAAATTCAATTATTTCCCACCCCTGCTTCACTGTCATGATCTTAAAAGATTTAATCTTCTCCAGCTCCATAAATACTTCCCTTGTAAAGTCTACCCTTGTACATGTTTATTCACCCTCCCAAAAAAGAATAAAAAAAAAGGTGCCCCCAGTCCCAGCTTTTATGGTGGCCCTCATTGAAAGAAAATGAGGGTTTTGCCAATTGGAACATGGTTTGCAAACCAAGACCCCAAGGAGGATTGGATGTGAAGAGGATTAAGAATGTGAATATTGCTCTTTTGGGGAAATGGTTTTGAAGATTTGGGGAAGATCAGGGTGGGTTGAGGAAGAGGGTGGTGCAAGCCAAATATGGAGATAGAAACTTCAGTTGGGTCCCAGGAGTTTAGAAGGTACATGGATGAAGTTTTCGAAGGATGGTATGATCCCTGCAGTTTAGAAGGCACCTAAATGATTGGGATCTGGATGTTATGGTGGAATTGCTGCACTTACTATACAGCACACAGGTGGAGTTTGGAAGCTCAGACAGAAGACAGTGGCAGTCGGAGAAATCATGAATGTTCTCTGTGAATTCTCTTTACAATGCACTTGTTGGCTTTAGAGCATTCAGTCCCTGTCAATATCATTTGGTGTGTGGGTGTACTTACAAAAGTTGCTTTCTTCATCTGGACTACCTACCTGAATGGAGTTCTGACTAGAGACAGCTTGGTACAGAAGGGAATGTTGTTGGACTTGGTTGACTGTGTGCTGTGTGCTGGACATTCAGAATTACTGAACGACCTTTTACTACACTGCCGTTTTTCTTATGAAGTATGAACTAATATATGGAATCTGTTTGAAGTAAAGAGCAATCCAGGGCCAGTGGAGTTTGTGCAGGGATGGAGGGCTGAATAAAAGAGGAAAATTAGCTTGGAATATGACCCCTGACGTGGTTTCTGGTGTTTATGGCAGGAGAGATGCAAGAATGTTCAACAACAAATGCAGCTATGCTAATACAGTTTTTCAAAAGGTGTCGAGGAAGGTCTTTTCATGGCTGGATACACAGACTGTTTAAAAGTGTGGATTTTAATTTTTCTTTTTTTTTGTACAGGGAAATCTTTTGTAAATCACGGCTTGATGGATTAGTGCTGCAGGGGCAGCTTTTGTTTTTCCCTTTGAGCACAGCATCTTGTTGTACTGTATCTTTTCTTTATATCTATCAATATAATACAATTCAATACTTTCTCTCAAGAAAAAAATGTTTCTGATTAGCATTGAATCTTAAGGTTTTTCTGGACTTTTTGCAGGCAGCTAGTTTGAGAATAGCTGAGCAATACATCCAAGCGTTCAGTAACATTGCCAAGGAGGTTAGTAGCGGACTTGCAGTACTTTTAAGGGCGTCTCCGTGCATGTGTATGGTTTTGTTTTTCAAAATAAAAAAAAAAGGGAACAAAAATGCTTCAGCATTGGGAAAAAAATATGATTTTGCTGATGTGGCAGTTTTTCTTGCTTTGAAAAACAAATATCATACATGTTGGCGACACCCTCTAAATGTTTGGAATAGTCAATGTTTTCATGAATTTAATTTTTATGCTTCGTTTGCTTCTCCATGGGGAACAACCATGCTGCAGCATTGGCAAAAATATGATTTTGCTGATGTGGCGGTTATTCTTGCTTTGAATAACAATATCATACATATAGGCGAACACCCTCAAAATGTTTGGAATAATCAATGTTTTCATGAATTTGATGTTTTCTACTTTTTTGTTTGCTTCTTCATAGGGAACAAGAATTCTGCAGCATTGTCAAAAAATATGATTTTGCTGATGTGGCAGTTATTCTTGCTTTAAAAACAATATCATACATGTTGGCGAACACCCTCTGAATGTTTGGAATAGTCGATGTTTTCATGATTTTGATGTTTTTACTTTTTCATTTACTTCTCCACAGGGAACAACAATGCTGCTCCCTAGCACTGCTGCCAATCCTGCGAGTATGATGGCCCAGGCTCTGACCATATACAAAAGCCTGATTGGCAACAGTACCGGTGTTGGCACCTATGAGGTATCCCAGTCTAGACCCTCAGGCAACACGGACAGTGATCATTCTGGGCAAACTGGAGTCGAGATCCCTGCACCTGATGCAGAAGCTGAGGCTGATTGGAGAGAACCAGTTTTCTCCCTGCAGAGCCCCAAGAAGGAAGAGAAGAGTTGATACTGTTGATGATTATCGTAAGGATGAAGGCCCGGTCATACAAATCAATTTTGTCGGAAACACTATTGTTTACTCATTTTCTATAATTGACTTTGAAGATTCAAATGAAGGCAAAGGGGGAAACAGCGGTTTGTTAGTCTTGATGTTGACAATCCTGCTTTGTTACAGCAGAATTTAGGGGTTGTCTGCACCTTTGGCCACTTTGACCGTTTTCTAGGATGCTATTTCTTCATCAGGAGACATTAAAATCATAAAAGGAGACACCTGCATAACCTCGTCTATTTCCACCAGAAACTTGATTGTCCTTTTCTGATTTTAGTGTTTTTGCGAATGACAAGGTTCGTAATGGCATTGCTCTTTCTCGGTCTCGGGACATCAGATCAATGCTTCGTTAGTTTTGGCTGCGGCAGGATTTTTTTGTCCCATAGGCTTCATGGGGTTATATGTTCCAGCTTTTAATGTCACGCAGAAGATTAGTTTTGCCTAATTTTTATAGTTGTTTTGGTGGTTTCATTTTAGGTTTGACTATTTCGTGTTTTCTCTGTGTTCGTAAGTCCGTTACCGATTTTTGAAGTCTGAAACATTACCTTATTACTGCTTCCATTGACTGAGCCAACCACTGACGTTGACTAATTTTTTGGTGGGTGGTGAAGGGTGAATGAGCCCGGATCTGGTCCCAACACAATGTCTCAAGACTCAACAACCGGTCCTAACTTCTCGCCATGAAAGACAATCTCATTTTCCAATTCACGGCTTTAATGGATGTTGAGATCCTGTGTTGGGACTCGATCTGAGCTCAATGTGAACATGGTTGAAACCACACAAACTTTACATTTTCGATCAATTGCATTTTGTGGATCATTGATATTTTTTTGATTGTGCAATCTTACGATTTCTCTTTGGCTTATTCGTCTATATGGATTTTACATCTTACCGATCAATGAGGTGATTTTACATCAAAGCTTAAAATTCGGACTTAGAAAATATTTCCAATGCACAATTTGCAAACATATGAGGTGGGTGTGAGGAGCAAGTCCCAAAGCTTCACCCATGTCAGATTAAGAATGAAATGTAACCTTGAGCAAGAAACAGTCTCCTACAATGTTGGCCATGGTTTTGAAAACCGGTCCAGATTGGATGGTCAGACCGGTTGACCAGGAATGGTCAGGTAATTGGTTCTGTTTTACTTTAAAACCGCTTTTTGCCAAAAACTGTTGATTTAGTCAGTGACCCGTTGGCCCGGACAGTCAAATCATCGAATCAAAGCCTTTGATTTGTAACCCAGCTCTAGTGCGGTTTCAACCTTCACGGTCTTATTTCTTGCTCACGCCTCACGGTTAAATTTCATTCTTAAATTGTCTGTTGGGAGTCCACACTTCCAACAAAATGCGTGGGTGCCACCTCTTCAGTCACATGAGACTCTTGCATTTGCAAAACTAATGGAAGAGCTAGTGAGCTACTATTCCTCTTCAACTTAGAGTGGTGGTTTTCTCTCTCTCTCTCTCTCTCTCTCTCTCTCTCTCTCTCCTTGTTCTTTTTCTTTTAGGTCTCATTTGTTTTCACTTGCCTAGGTAGTACATTTACTCAGACAAGTGTTTCCCATGTTTCACTTCCCTGGCAAGTGAGGTTCTAGTGTTCTTGTGCAATACACAATATCTAGGTAAAGAAAGAGGCAGGAGAAAGGTTCAAAATATTGATACACCTGATACGTCGGTAGGGGTGTATCGGGCGAATCGATACTTTTTTTTATTTTTTTCAAAACTGATTCAAAGTGCCGGTTTATAGCTCCACCCCCTGAACTGGTCAGACCCCCAATACACCCACTGTAGGGGTGTATCGGAGAGGTCCCAGAACGATACATATTGGCTGATACAGGCYGATACGTGTCAATACTTTGAACCTTGGGCGGGAGGGTGAACTCATTATTGGTGTACTGATAAATTACTTACCCACCTTCCAGGAGGGTATTAGGTACCTAGGTAACTGATACTCTCTAGTAGCTTGACTTACCATGAGACCCAATATAGTGGCATACAAACACAGGAATTGTGGTCAATTACCTATTTGACCAACTTAGCTCCCACTAAATACCAACAAAGGAATGGGGCCTTATTTTTTTTAATCCGTTATTCTTTCCTATCTTTTTCACTGTTGGTAGACAAAGGCAAATCCAAACCTGTGTTTTTTTTTTGAGAAAAGGTAAAGTATTTCATTAAAGGCAAATCCAAATCCAAACTTGTCTGACCACCACATTTCCCTCTGCCTCCCTCTCCCCCTCTTTTGTTCTTCTTCTTTTCTTCCTTTTTTTCCCCTTTTCATCCTCCCCTCTTTGCTGCTGTAAGTCTGTAATAGGAAACAGAGATCGAACATTTTATAGAATAGGCCTTGTTAATCCAATCATTGCAACCGATCACCCCTTTTATTACTTTATCTTGAGAATGCCATCTATTTTTTTTTTTGCTAGTTATAGTGCCATCTATTTAGTAAATCCATCCAGAATAGTTTGTCCAACTTCTACATCTTAACTCCAACCTACAGCCTGGTGCTATTCATATTTCGGTACTTCACCATTCCCTCAACTCCGGTCTTCATGCCTTAGCCCAATATGATGTAGCTCTCCCCTTACCTCACCATGGGTCGTCCCGATTTAATAACCATTATCACAGCATCTTGATGATAAAAACAAAGGAGAAAAGGTGGATTCTCATATCAACCTAAACAGTCAAAGCTTGATGGGGTAGTAGTGTAGGTGTGGATGGGGGGCCATGGATTACTGTTTGATGGCGACTATAGCAGTATTGATGGTGAAGTGCTAGAGTTGGGTCAATGCATTGGAGATTCAAACTAGTTTGATGCATTGGAGTTGCAGGGCTTTGATGACCGATGGAATAGAGGAAGAAACCTGAGAGAAAAAAGAAGAGAAACAGAGGACAAAAGCTTGGGCTGGGTTAGCTTGAACTCAAGCTTAACCCAACCCGAATCTGAATCTACTAATGCTATTGTATTAGGTATTATAGTCCAGCCACACTATTAATCCATTTGTCTTTGTTGAGAAAATGCATTTGGCTTAGGGGTATTGTTGTCCTTTTTTGTTATTTGTATTTTGGGCTCCCTTATAGGGACACAACTGCAATTTCTTCTTCTTCCTACACTCGACAACTTGGTATCAGAGCGGAAAGAAATCTTGGACTAGGTTTCTCTGTCAACTCCCAAACTCGAGAAGACTTGCTAGCATTAGACCGCCATCGGATGATGTCGTGGTTTGATGTCAGTAGTCCATACAGATACTAGCAACAACCCTTGAAACTGATATACTCTGGGGTCCTCTAATTTTAGGGTTATTTTGGTATGGTCCTTATCTTCATCTGATGTGTTTGTTTTTTCCCGGATTTTACAATAAGAAATTACAGAAAATTACTGGTTCGATGTTAAGATTTTTTCCTCCTTGTCTAAGTTCGATGCATGCTTGAAACTTGTTAGTTTTGGTTCGTTTGGCGTCCCTGAAGGTATGGGAAATGGTTCCACATTTTTATGACCTATAATCTTTCTTCGGGAGGTCTATTTTCCCTCATATATTGCCGCTAGTTCAGTTTTGGGCCTCCAATTGAGTATTTCCCATTTTGTTTGTGGGTCTTGTATGCCTTGGCTGGTTGTTGGAGTGGTGTAGAACTATTAAAAGGCCTACCCAACTTAAATGGATGTGCCTAAGGAGTTACAGACTATTTTCAGAATGCTTTCGGGTAATGCCGATGTCTCTAATGGTAATGATAACCATTGTAAAACTTGATGGAACCAACTTCTTAGAGTTGGTCTCAATCAGCCAAGCTTACTATCAGAGGTAGGGGTAAGCTAGAATTTATTATTGATAGAGAGGTGAAGCCAAAAGCTGATGACCCCAAACTTTACAACTTGAGTCTACCAACTCTGAAGAGAAGCTTGTAATATGCATCAGGGGGAGAGAACTATAGCCATGTATTTCTCTTCTTTGTAGTCTCTATGGGAAAAAATAAACCATTTGGAGAACTTGGAATGGAAGAACGCTAAGGATGATGAGCAATATCAGAAGTATGTTGAGAAGAATCGAGTGTTTGACTTCTTCGTTGGATTGAATGGTGAGTATGATTTTATTCAATAGTATATTTTGGGTGCAGATATTGTTACTCTTGCTACTGCATAGCCCTTAGTGTAGGGAGAGGAGAGTAGAAGGGTTGCTATGATGTAGACCTTAGTGATGGATCATTCTGCCTACATGTCTTCAAGGTCCAAGCTGAGTACAAATAGATAGGATACTAATGAAAAGCATGATGACGTGGCATGCGATTATTGCAAGAGGTCGAGACATATGAAGGATAGGTGTTGGAATTGAATCCCCATTTGAAGCCTAACAAGTTTAAAACAACAAAGAAGGGTAATGCTCATCTTGTTATAGTTGGATTTGGTTGCCCCCTAATGTATAGGGTCCGACACATGGTTCCTCTAATGTGATGGAGAAGCTCAGGATTCTATTGACTTAGATTGAGAAGTCTGGGCCCTTTGTTTCTTCTGGTTCTAGTAATCATTCCAATGCTTTTGCAAAAATAGATACTGCACTTGTTAATCTTCTCCTACTAGCTCTTAAATTGTAGACTCTGGAGCTAGTGCACATATGATTGGTATGCCTTCCCACTTTACCTCTTATAAATTGGCTCTAGGGGAAGGAGAAATTACTATAGCTGATGGATCTTAGACCCCAATCTCTGGTCTAGGGGAAGTTAAGCTTACTCGTGATCTTTCCTTGAGCTCTGTCATTCATGTTCCCCAATTGTACAAGAATATTTTATCTGTTAGCACCCTTACCGAATCCCATAATTATTTAGTGACATTTTCCCCTTCTCGTTGTGTTTTTCAGGACTTGAGAATGGGGAGGATGATTAGAACTGGACATGAAGCTGATGGAGTTTACCTTTTTAATCAAACCTTTGAGCAAGGATTATTGTGCCAGATTGAGTCGTGCCAAGATGAAAATTTGAGTTTTTGAAGTTGTGGCATTGTCACCTCAGTCATGTGTCTTTTAAGTCCATTAAGTTTTTGTTTCCAAATTTATGCCAGTCTGTGTCTAATTTGGGTATGCAATGTGAAGTCTATCATCTCTCAAAACAATGTAGAACTATGTATCCTACAAGTAATAAAATGAGTGATGTTGCTTTCAACTTGATACACAGATGTTTGGTGCCCATACTCTATTCCATGTATGGGTAGCTATAAATATTTTATACTATTCATTGATGATTACTTTAGATATACTTGACTATACTTGATGAAGAATAGAGACGAAGTACCAGCCATTGTTCAAAACTTCTTCAAGATGGTGAAAACATAATTTGAAAAGTACATCAAGATAATAAGGTCTGACAGTGCTAAGGAGTATTTTGAAAAGCATATGTGATTATTTTTTAAAGAAAATGGAGCAATTCATCAAAGCGCATGCTCTCATACTTCTCAACAAAA